ATCTGTCCTGGGTGTGCTCTGGGCATTTCTCCTCCTTCCCCTTCCACCCTCCTTTTCCTTTCCCTGAATATCATAGAATCTGAAAATGCTTTAGTGCATTAATTTCAGACTGAATGTAAATAAGCCATTTGGATTTTTCCCAGTTGAGCAAACTTTCAAACCAGAATTTTGCTTTCCTCTCCTCCAGCCTGGCTCGTGGGATTGGAAGCATTTGCTTCAGTGCCGTCTCTTCTGCACTTGAAGCCACTTAATCAAGCTCTAAAATATCCCTTGAATAGGTCAGACAGGCACCTGATTGGGCCAGGCAGCGCGTATGGGAAAACCAAGAGAGATTACACGCTCATTTTATCTGCATAAAACAGATTAGAAAGCTCCCAAACTAAATATTGCTGCAAGGTAGCGTGTTGTTAATGGCAAACGCCTCACTAGACTGTCTGTGTCTCCATCCAACACTATCTCGTCCCTGACCAGCCATTCCTGAGGGATTAAAGGGAGAGAGAAGGGGGGACGGGAGACTCTGCTCAGCATCTCCGCATCGGCAGGAGTCGTGACCCACAGTGGTAGATTTGGCTGCTCTTTGGGTCCAGAAGAGCTCAGATGTGGATCCAGACATGTCGAGACCCTTCTCCCTCCCTTTTGCAACGGGTTGACACCACTTAATCCAAACATGCTGCTGGCTAAAGAGGCAGGGTTTGCTTCTGAGCTCACCAGTCCAAGCCTGTCTTTAGCTGCTGTGTGCTGGAGGGGTTTTTCTCGCCCATGCAGCCGTGTGTGGGGCAGCGGTGACAGGTACATGCCAGCGAGGTGTCCACCCATCTCCTGTCCCCACATTTCTTCCGCTTGAGCCAAAGGCCCTTGGATAGAAGAGGGGCAGATAAATCAGAGATCCCAAGCCACCAGGCAGATCATCTGTTGCATTAAGCTACAGCTCAGGAAAGCTGAGCAGGAGCCATGGGACAACCGGGGTGGTTTTGACCTAAAAGCGTGGTTTTAGCTTTGCGTCTCCCCACATCCTCGGGGCCTTCCCAGCTGGGGGTCTGGGCACCACAAGTGGCTGCAGGGAAGGAAACCCGCAGGTCCCTGTGAGCCGTAAGATGCCGTGCTGCCCGAGCACCCTCCCCAGCTGCTGACGCACTGCAGTTTCCTTTTGCTTGTCCAGTGCTTCGGGGATGGGTGAGCTCAGTCCTGCAAGCTCATCGGGAATTAAGCATGCCTCCCACCCAAAGCACAAATGCTTTTTCCCCTACTCAGAACAACTGGTAGGTTGCCCCAGAAGCTCCTGCAGACACTGGCTGTGCAAAGCGGGTCCTTCCCACAGCCGGTGATCCTGGAGGGACATTTTCTATGTTTGACTTTGCAGGAATATTACAAGATACTCAGTTAAAGTCAATGACTCCCTACAGCTTCTCTACATCTTTCTTCTCCCCCCTCCTTTTTTCTCAACTCCTGTGATGCTCGGTGGACTTTGGAGCTCACTGATGTCTTGGGGGTTTTATGATGGGTGGATTTGGACTTTGTAAATGGGGAGAATAGTCAGAAAACCTGACCTCTGTGCATGTCCCAGGCTTGGCAACCGGGAGGTAAAGAAAGTAGTTCCACGTCTATCAGCTTTCCTAATCTTTTGTACCTTACGGCAGCACTGTGATTTATTGAAGCCTGGCTTATTATTTTTAAATGCCCTATTATCTTTGTTCTCATAAAAAAAACATGTGATTCGCCCTCCCTGTGCCACGTTACCTTCATTTCTCCCTTGTGTTTTACAAACGGTGGTACAGAACGGGGGAGTGGAGACCTGGGCTCTCGTCCCAGGCTGGTTTTCTGCATTGAGAGGAGCGTTCGCCCCAGCTGGGAAGGGGCTGGGGGTGCAGGTGGAGAAGGGGATGGATGTCCCATCCTGAGGATTGGCTCTCCTTGGGGCTTCATCTGTGTTTTGCCTGGGCTTGTGGTTGGTTTTAAACCAGGCAGATTTAGGTCAAGCCTCGTCTTGTTCTGGTGGCAGTAATAGCAGGGGAGGGAAGAAAGCAGAGTAGCAGGGAGAGGGGACCCCAGGGGGGGCTCGCCTTGCTGGGGGACCCCCTGCCAGGCCCCAGTGATGTTGGGATGGAGCTGCTCCTTCCCGCACCTCTTTCCCCACTTACCCTCTGTGTGTGGTTTGGGGAGCAGGAACCCTTCTCGGGGGGACTTTGTGCCTCAAAGGGATGAGGGCACGCGGCCGAAGGGGGAGAGGGTTATCTGGACGGGACCCCTGCGGAGCTGCACACCGTGTGTGTGTGCCCGTCCGGGTCTGTAAGAGGTGCCAAGCAGAGCAGTGTGAGCCCTGCTATGAGCTGGGGCCGGAGGGGGATTCAAAGGAGGAGGATGAGCCTGTGCCCCAGCGACTGTGCGGGTGCTGGGGGTCTGTCTGTCTGTCCCTCCCTGTGCCATCAGGGGTGATGCCTCTTCTTGGGTGCATTTTGCCAGGCTTGTTTGAGAGCTGCTCTGCGCATTCCCACTGCATTTCCCTGCGGGTCAGAAGGTGCCTGGGAAGTGCCCGGTCCCAGCAGCGCAGGCAGGGAGCTGTGTGGGGTTTGTGCTGAGCCCACACGTGTCCGGCTGCCCCCAGCCCTGCCCTGGGGTCAGGCTGCGACCGGGAGGGCAGACACAGCCCTTCTCCATCTCACTCCCAGGGGATGCTGCACGTTTGGGGGTCAGCACCATCCGTACGCTCCCCAGGATGTGCAGCAACAGGGAAGCGAGGCTGCACAAGGCAGGGAAGGACCAGCTTACCCAAATTTCTTTCCTCTCTATTTTCGTGTCTCTTCTGGCCAGCTTGTTCCAGTGGGAGTTAATTTAATTGCCATCTTCCTCCCTGCATCGCTGTGGTTGTGTGTGAGACCTCTTGTTGGGCAGGGTAATTATATGTGTGAAGTGGACCTGGCAAAAACGAGCCTTGTTTCAGTTGTCAGCGGACCAGCACGCTCACCATCCGTACGGCCTGGTGCCGCTGCTTCCTCGCAGAACTCGGGGTCTAAACAGACCGTTCTTGTGCTCAGCCCCTCGGGAACGGGCACGCAGTGGGGCAGGGGATGTGATGGAGGCAGGCAGGGATCAGCTGGAGCTCTCGCCGTGCACAGAGCAGCTGCCAGCCCTTCTCCCACCGCAGCACTTGATTTTCCAGCTCTTTTTGCTAGTGTAAATCGCATGCTGCGGAGGGGAGCGCTGACCTCGGGGGTGAGAGCAGGAGAGGGGATCTGATGGTGACGGGGCTACTCTGGGCAACCCCAAAGTCCTGACTGTTGATTTTTAAGCCTTTAGCAGGCTCCGGGCATCTCGTAGCAGAAACCAGAGCAGCTCCCCAGCTACGCCGATGGCCAGTGGCTCAGATCCCCTCCCAGGTGCTCTGCACCGGGCACCTCTGACTCAGGGCTTCACCCAGAGCTCCTCAACCATCGGGGTTTTCATGTCTGGCTTTAACAGGCTTTACCACAGGCGCTGACTCAGGCCGGTCCAGGTTGGGACATGACAGAGGACGTGGATGCAGCAACATGTAGTTATTATTCACCTATACACCACGCCTATGTGCAAGCACTTATAGGAAGATGACAGCCTGCTCTCTTTCTCCTCTCTGTTTTGCCCTGGGCTTTCCAGGGGCATGGGAATGAGTTTTCTCCTTTCTGGGACTCACTCCCACTCCGCTTGGGATTTGGAGCCAACATTGCTGTGCAAAAATCAGCTGGAGCTGCTGCATTTCCCTTGGTTGAGCCCCAAAATTGCCTCACCAGCGAGAGCTGTGAGGCTGTATCAGGATGAGCTTTCCTTCCCAGCAAAGCCCCTGTGGCAGGAGCTCCCAGCCTGGATCAGCGTCCTTGGAAAGGTGGAGATTATGATCCTGTGGGGAAACCGAGGCCGGTGGATGAGCATGTGGGGTGTAGCGAAGCTGGGAGCTGAGCGAGCATCACCCCAGGCTGGTTGCAGCCCCTCTGCAGCGTGTCCAGGCTCCTGCCGACCCCGGGGTGTGGATGGGGCCCGCAGCCTCCCTTGTAGGGCCTCTTGTTATAGTCCCTATAATTATACGTGTGGGGTCTGCCTGCCTTCCTCCCCGGCTCCTGCTTGTAGGACTTCTTGTTATATTGAGTATAATGAAGTGTCCGAGGTCTCTCTTCCCCCCACCCGCCCTTGCCTGCCTGCATGTAGAACCTCTTGTTATAGCCAGGGAAATTATGGGTCTTTGGTCTCCCTCCCTTCGCCCAAGCTATAATTTAGTTTTATATAAAGTGCGGTCCAGCCCCTGTTGTGCAAGCGGTTGCTATTCCGGGTGCTGGGGAGAGGGATGGGGCGGCGAGGAGGGGGCTCGCAGTGGGTGGGGAAGCACAGGATCACACTGAGCACCCTGCAGCCCCCCCCAGACACCCCACCGTGGCGGGGGGCAGCTGGCCCCCAGCCCGCAGTGCTGGCTCTGCAGGAGGTGGTTATGGCTTGTCCTCTCATGGTTTCTGCAAGGGAGTGTGTGGCACTGAGGTTTCTCCCCACGGGGAATAACACGTCTCTTGTTTCAGGTTTTGCTTGCCCCATCGAGGGGGTCTCAGCGGGAACGTGAGGGGAGGTGGCAGCTGGCTCCTGCGGGGAAAACAGTGGCCCTTTCATGGGAAGAGGGGAATTGAAAAATCCAGTTTGAACTGCTGAGTGTAACTGGATCCTCTGGCTTTTTAAAGAAGGAATGTGGGAACTAGGGAAGGCTTTTGGGAGGGTGCTGCTGAAGCGCTGGTGTTGCAGCGGGGTGAGCAACTGCAGAGTGGTGCAACCCCGATGCCCATCCCGAGCAGCCCAAAATCCCCCCGCAGTCTCCAGCTCTGTCCTCTGGGCTACAAAAGCAACAAGGGGCAGCTGGGTTTGGCTCGTGCCCAAAATCAGATTCCCAAAGCACCGACCGGTGCCGTTTGCAGGTTCGGGTGACTTGGGGGGCTCTGCCCACAGCTCGGCTCGCCCCGGGGTGCTCAGCTCCAACCCCGTTTCTCTTGCAGAGGCGGGTGAGACCTCGCGCCCCTCGCCGAGGCAGACGCCAGCGGCACCGTCGGCAGAGCCCCAGCCACCCGCCCGCCCCGCTGCCTGCCCCGCGGTGCAGAAGAAGGAGAAACCCCTGGAAGATGATGAACCCCGAAAAGTCCTGACGAAGGGCCCCCGGGCCGAGCTCGCAGGCGCTCCCGAAGCTGTGACATGTGAGTGTTTCCCTCCGTGGTGGCATGTGCAGCTCCGGACACCTCTGGGTGCCCGTGCTTTGGGGTGTTGCCGTCTAATCAGTAACAGGGCTCATTAAGAAGGCGGGCAGCTGTGGTGGGAAGCCATCTCCTCCTCGCTCTGCTCTTCCCCACATCAAAGCAAAAGGCTTTAACTGAGCGTGAGTCACCGGGAGCTGGGGAAAGTGAAGGGCGGCATCCAGCAGCGATGCCTCTCGCTGCCTTCATCCTTGGGAGCAGCAGGAGGCAGAGGAGGAGGAGGGCGGGTGGCTGGAGGAGCTCTCAGTCGTGTTGGGGTCCTGCTGGGGTGCCATGGTGGGAAGAGGGATCAGCCCCTGGGGGAAGGAGCCGGCTGCTGTATGGAGCCTCCACCAAAGCTGCAGCGGGAGAGGGGAGAGCCCCCGGCAGAACGGGCTCCGTGGTCACAGCCACAGGAGGAGGGGTGCAACAGCCATTTGCTGGAGCAAAGGGAGATGCTTCCCGTTGGGACAACTCTTGCCTTGGCAGATCCAGGGCAAGGGTGAGGCTGGTGCAAAGCCTGAACGAGGAGGGTACGGGACGGGCTGTCTGCACGGAGGATCTGGTTTTGCTGGAGGTGGTGGTGGAGTCAAGCAGCACCTCCCCGTTTCTGCTGCTGCAGACCTGCTGGTCCCCCCGCTGTGAGAAATATCGGGGTGGGGTAGGAGCCGAGGTGGGGGCCGGGGTGCCCTTGCTCCATTTCCCATTGCAGGGGCGGGAGAGCAGCGCTGGCAGATGTGGGAGAGCAGGGGCCAGGCTCTCCTGGAGTCACGCCGTCCATCCTTTCCCTGGCCCCCAGCCTGGATCCGAGGGTTTTGCTCCCAGGCTGCCCCTTAGGCACACAGCCATTCCCCTTTTGTTGGATGCGAGCGTGCAGCTTTCCCTTCCAAGGGGCGTAAAGTGAATGGATGCTTCCCAACGGGGAGAAGGAGGGTGGGAACGAGGTTGCAAACTTCGAAGAGTGGGCAGGCGGGGTGGGGAGGGGAGGGGACAGTGAAATCCAGGCGCTCCTGACGGCGTACGTGGAGCGAGGAGAGCACACGTTTCCTCAACCAGAGCTCGAGCCCTTGCGAAGCATCTGGGAGCTGGGCCGGCTGCCCACAGACATTCTGCACCTCTGAGTCACGCTGCAGCCTGCTGCACCCTGCATGGTGCGGCCCCCACGCAGCCCCCCTCCCCAGCCCACCCCCCCCGGGGGGCAGCCGCCCCACGGACCCCGAGGGGCAGCCGCCCCACGGACCCCGAGGCTGGGAGGAACGTGGCTGCTCGTATCCGGGCTTGCCTGGGTGCTGGGTTCAGGGAACCCCCCCGCTCCTTCCCTTCTCCTTCCTGGGAAATGAGGTTCAGCTCCCTGCAGAGCACCGCTTCCCGCATCCCTTGCTTTGCAGCCCGCTCCTCACCGTGCACCCCACAGCTGCTGTTAGGGGAGGAAGGGGTCACCATTGCTTGTGGGGGGCAAATTCCACCCCCCCAACTTCAGTAGTACCTTGGGAGCACAGTTAGGCTCCCCCGTGGGAAGGTGAAGGGGGTGCTGGTGGCATTTTTGTGCCACTCCAGCACGTTCAAGGTCAGGAGGGGCTGTTGGGTTATGTCCGTCGCCAGCAGTGCCAGGATCAGCTCCTCCGAGGCTCAGCGCTGCTGGTCGAAGCTCGCCACGATTCTTAAATCAGTCTTCTGGCAGTTTGGGAGCGACCGAAATGGGGATTGCGGGTTTGGGGCTCCGGGTGTTGAGTTTCAGGCGAGAGCAGCAGCACACTCCGCTCGAGCGGCTGCAACGTGCCGGTTTGCCCCAGCCCTGTTAGCGGCTCGGGAGGATGATGTTTGGCAGAGCCGATGGCTGGAGGGGGGTCACAGCAGGGCGAGGACCACTGCGGTCTGGGCATCTGTCCCCCCCCCGAGCTCCCCCGGTGATGCTGCCATGGGGGAACCTGAGCTGAGCTGACACCGCGGCTGTGCCGGGGAGCATCATCTCAGGTGGAACACGAAGTGAATGTCCAGGAGGTTTTTGGTCGCTGAAGAGCCAAAGGCAGGTGCTTTTCCCCAAAGCCCTGGTTTCCCACCCTGGTGCTGGTGGGTGGATGCGGTAGGGGTCGTTGGGTGGGCTGGTGTAGCCCCCACCGCTCCTGCCCTGACACCCATTTTATTAGGGAGTGTTTATACACGGTTCTACCTAAGCCTCAGGTTGAAGATGTCTCTTTTAGAAGAGCTTTGGGCTCCTGTGAGTTGAAGGCTCTCCTAAAAAATGGGAGCTATTTTTCCTAACGTAAAGGGGGGGGGGGGGGATTACTGCCTGCTTTTCACTGCCACTCGCTGGAGCCAGGGCGTGATTTTGATTTACAAACATTTTAATCTGAGGAATGCAGTGAAATGGAGAACGCCAAAGCAAGCACATTGCATGCTGCTGCAAACCCCCGGAGGAACCCAACGCTCGAAGCTGCAGAGTATTTGCTGCCGTGGGGCACAGCCGGGCCGGGCTGGTGTGTGTGTCCCTGGGGGCTCAGCCCCTGCCCAGCTTGGTGCTGCTCGGTGCCAGCTCGGTGCCCACACTGGGACACGGCCAGTCAGGGGTTGCGGAGAAGGGTCCGTGGGAAGCCAACACCCCCCAGGAGTTGTTGTTTTTTTATTTATTTTTGGGGGGGACGCATCCCATTTTGTCCAAGACCTGTTTTCCATTTCTCCTTTCTGCCCTTCTCCCACCCCTCCCACTCCCAGCCCGCTCTTCCCGCTCAGCTCCGGTTATTTTAAGTTCCTTTCCCAGCGTGCGTCAAAGACGCAGCGTTTCACCCAAGCAGCCGTTTAAACTTTCTCTGCGGTCTGAGCCCAGCTCAGTTGGGCAGAGCCGGGCGGTGGGTCCGTGCGCTTGTGTTTTTTTAACCTCCATCTATTTTGTTTTCGCTGGCAAGGGCGGGTGCAGGACAGAGACTGTCTGTGCCCCCTCCACCCTGTCAGTCTCCCCATGTCCCATGGCCACCCCACGCAGAAAGCAGCTCCTGTTCCCCGGCAGCCAGAGGTGCCTTTGCCCTCGAGCCTCTTGCCTGAATCATCCCTTGTTTACTGCTGCGGGAGAGGAAAATCAAAATTTGGCCAAAGCACCATCAGACGGGGTTTTATTTGTGGCTTCTATTGGCGTTGCTGTGGCGGGAGTGATGGATGCTTGAACCCCGCTCCCTTGTGTGGGGGTCCCAGTCCTGTCCCCCACCGCAGAAGGACGGCAGCGTGGGGATGCGGCGCAGGGCAGGAGCGAAGGACTGAGCTGCAGCGTGCGAGGGCTGGAGGGAGGCTCAGACAGAGCTGATCATTATTCCCTCCTCCTGCAGAGAAGTTCAGCCAAAGGCTGGGGAGACCTTTAATTAAGCGGCCAATTCACGCAGTCCCGGGGAGATGAGCAGTCCGGCTCGCCGGCAGCGCTTCATCGTCTCCGGCTTTACGGAGGGCGATGGGGACGGCCAGGAGCTCCGTCGGGCAGCACCGTGCCCAGGGCTCCTGGGATGCTGGCTTGGCCACGGCGGTGGCTCTCAGCTGGAAGCAGCCACGGGCTCTTCTCTTGCCCACTTGGCACGAGGCAAGTTTGCCTCGCGATGCCTCCGTGCCCGCTCCGGTCGGCCTCGGTGACTTCATCCCTCCTGCCTGTGCCGGCAGCGCCGGGACCCTGGAAGACCTCCTCCTCCGGGTCTTCTGCTGAGTTTTGGCAGTTGCAGCACATCCTTCATGATAAAGCTTTTATTTTGTGCTCTTTTTTTTTCACCCCTTCCTCTCTCTGGAGCCTCTGTCTTCTTCCCTCCAGCCATCTCTTCTTCCATATCTTTTCCATCCTCATCCTCTTGGACCACGCATCTATTAGCATCACTCCTCCCCAGCCACCCCGTGCCGCCTGGTGACCAGGTTCCCGTGCAGCGGCAGAGGACCAGGCACGTGTTTCTCTGCCAGCAGAGCGCTGCAGGGAGGGCTCAGGGGGGGTAACGTGCTGTTCTCCCCCTCCCCAGGCCAGCCCCAGGTGCGAGCAGCCCCGCAGCCCCCCGGTCCCTGCACCCACCTGCTGCAAAACGGTGCTGGGCGGGGGCCGGACCCCGGCGGCGCCAACGGGGAGGGGGGGAACGGGGTCTTCCGCCCCCTCCCCAGCACCCAGAAGCCTCACCGAAAGCTGCAGTCACACCACTCCATCAACAGCCAGAGCAGCAAGAAGAGCAAGGGCAGCTCCAAATCGGCCTCTTCCCACATCCCTATTGAGGCACAAGAAGGTACCAGCTCTCCCCAGGGGGGGTCCCCTTTCAGCCATTCTCCTCCAGCCCTGCATCCCTTGGGGTCTCTCATGTAGCATCCTTCCAGCCCCCCGGGACCCCCAGACCTGGGCACCAGCCGAGCTCCCCTCCTGGCAGCCTTCTGCAGGGGGGGTGCTGCGCGAGCTCATTTCATGTCCTCCAAAATTGGTTTCTCGTGGGGCCTGGGCATGTCCCTGGGAGTTGAGGGAGGCCCCTGGAGCAGTGCCTGGCTTCCAGCCCCTCTTCCTATCCCCTCCATTAATTCCCGAGGGAGGATTTCCACCCTTACGGGGCTGAGCATCCATCCACCAACCTCACCCAGCCAGGTCTGTCCCCACTCTACCCACTCTCTGGCCGTCCCTCCGCAGACTGCTGCGTCCACTGCATCCTCTCCTGCCTCTTCTGCGAGTTCCTGACCCTCTGCAACATCGTGCTGGACTGTGCCACCTGCGGCTCCTGCACCTCCGAGGACTCCTGCATCTGCTGCTGCTGCTGCAACTCGGGCGAGTGCGCGGACTGCGACCTGCCCTGCGACATGGACTGCGGCATCATCGACGCTTGCTGCGAGTCGGCCGACTGCCTGGAGATCTGCATGGAGTGCTGCGGGCTCTGCTTCTCCTCCTGAGGGGCTGCACTCGGTGCGTGGGGGGACACCAGGAGTGGGGCCCCCCCCTCCCCCTCACCCCCCGAGCTCTCCCGCAGTGGCTGAGGGTCCAGCTACTCCCTGAGCCGGTGTGAAACACCAAAAGACAGAGCCTGGCGGAGGAGGAGAATGATACCCCCCCCATTGCAAACCTCATCCTTGGAGCTGGTGAGCCAGGCTCGGATCCTGCCTGGGGAAGGGTGAATCCGTAGGGCCGCGGGGACCCCGGGGACGGCCGGCATCCCACCTCGCTCTACCTCTTCCCCGCACCGGGCCGGTTCCCCAAGGATCGCGGGAGCCTCCTGCCACCTGAGCCGAGAGCAGGAGCACCCTCCCCGTGCACCGCAGAGCCCACGGGTGCCACCCCGGGGTCCCTGGGCTGGGGACAGCCGCTGCCACCGCCCGGGGCTGCCCCAGGACAGTGCTCTGGTTTACACAGGAGTGGCACAGAGCATCTTTCCCCCCCCCCCCCCCCCAGGACACCTCCAAGGCTGGGCGCGGTACAGAGCCTTGCTCCCCGCTGGGAGCCCACCAGATGATGCCAAAGCTTTTAGCCAGGCTGCGGGCTCCTGTGCTGTGGGACACATCCTGCCAGCCCCCACCCCTCCTCGGTGCTGAGGTGGGCAGCCAAGTGCAATACACAGTCTGCTCCCCTCCCTGTTTCAACAGCCAGGAAGAAGCTTTTCCTTCTCCCGTCCCTGCAGCGGGGTTGCAGCCGGGGGCCAGGGAAGCTGGGGAGAGCCCAGAGCTGTACTGAGCTGCTACCGCCCCTCCCGTGTCCCCGGGGGCGGTGGGGCGGGTGACTTGGTTGGTGCCAAATGACCCCCAGCAGTTGTTGGCCCCTGTCCCTCCAGCCCGGGGACAGGGCTGGTGGCTGGGTGGCGGCGGAAAACGCCCCGGTGAAGGGTTGGGGAGATGAGGAGGGAAGTGTCACAGTATTTTTTTTTTTTGTCCCTTTTGTTTGTTACTGTAAATAAAGGTCTTCCTTCATTTCTGTCCAAGGGCTGCCCCATCACGTGCTCTGCAGGGCTCCCCGAGGGAACAGCAGCTCGCAGCCACGCCGTGTCCCCCCTCCCAGTGCCTGCACCCCGTCCTGCTCCCAGCTGCAGGCACGGGACGTCAGGGCTGGCGCAGAGGCTGCAGGGCTCCTTTGGCCTTGGGGACATGGGACAGCTTGGTGACAACCCCAGGGTGCTCCCGTTTGGGCCCTTGGGAGGGGAAACGCAAGAGGACTCCCTGTCCTTCACTCCAGGGAACAGGTCAAGGTCCTGGTGTGCCACAGCCTGGCACCAGCTCCCTGCCCTGCTCCTGCAGCTGTGGGACAAACCTGCTGCCACTGGTCACCTCCCAGCCCTGCCGTGGGACCACCAACCATGCCGTGCCGTGCTGTGCCGTGCAGGTAAGGGACCAGCGGGCCCCTCGCCGGAGTTTCGCTGCCCCTCGGGGGATTCAGCCATCCCAGCGAGGCCGCTGCCTGGGCTGAAGTTGAACGAGGAGGGAAAAATACTTAAAAATCGAGGCCAAATGGGTCAGTTGGTCACGGCGACACAGGCTGGTTTGGGATCTGGGCTGCCTGCCCTCCGGCGCTGCCGCTCAGCCGTGAAACCTATTTTTAGTGGTGAGCTAAATTCGGTCGGAGCCCGGCGCGGTGCATGTGCATGGAGGGGAAGAGGATGGTGCAGGCAGCCTTCCTCCACCCCACGCACGGCGGGGAGGACTCAGGGTGGTGGATCAGGACTTTTAGCACTCGCTCTGGCACCGCTGCCCGGGCTGAGCCCCAGTGTGGGGGTTCGGTGGGGGGGGGGGGGATGCACATCAGTGCCCACCCTGGGACGAATGGGACCAGGGCCCCATCCAGCACTCGCAGGGTCAGTGGGAGCTTTTCCACAGGCTCTGGCTGAGGCTCTGCTCCAAACCATTTGCATCCTTGGCAAGGAGGGACAGAGGAGCTGACCTTCCCCAGCCTGGCCTCACTCGTGGTGCTAATTAAGGAGGTTGGAGCTGGCAGGGTTGCTCTCCCCACCAGCCGCGGTAACGAGTGCTGCCGGAGTCTCTTAATGGGGAACAGATTCCCCCAGTGCGGGAGGGCCCTGTGGGCTGACCCTGCCGTGTGGACTCGTGTCCCGGCGTGGGAAGGGGGTCACACGTGCCCCAAGCACCCAGATTCCCCCCTACCCTGCTCCCTCCGCTTTGCTCCAGCATTAAAAGCCTTTTTAACGCTGCTCCCAAGGGACCAAGTCCCTGCACAGCAGCTCTATCCACCCGCCGCAGCTTGAAACTCATGGGCAAGGTCGAGCAAGGAGGTGGGGAGCAGAGCAGGGCTCTTGGTGGAGCATGAGGTAGTGCTGGATGTATGTGATATTCACGCCTACAAATGTACTTTAGTGATGGCTGCCTTCGAAAAAAAAAAAAAAATGCAAATAAAATAGTTGCTGGTGCTGGGCTACCCAGAAGCACAGTTCAGCCCTGCAGAGTGATGCTCTGCAAACCCACCCTCAGAGGGGTCCCACCTTCTCCACTGGCTCTTCAGGGCTGGACATTGGAAAGGGCAAAGCCAGATTATTTTTCAATCTGTACCCTAAACCTGGGGCACATTCCCTGCTCTGAGCAGTACTGGCTGCTCTGCTCATGTCTTGAGTGCTCCTGAAAATCCCAGAGATGGTCCTGGGCTGGGGGAATGATGGACCAGAGCACCTCAAATCCCTGAAAAGGGCTTGAAAAGCAAAATTCGAGCCTTCATCTGGAGGCAAACTGATGCTGACCATCCACCTTGCAAACCACCACGGAATGCAAGAGTTAAATCCTCCTGCCTGGGAATTAATTAACAACAGATGTGCTGAGTTTTAACTAATTACTCTTCTGCCAGCACTTGGTTTTTACAGTTCCCTTGGAAGCCTCTCAGAGCGGGGAGCCATCACACCGTGCCCGTGTGGATGCTGGCCCCCCGGGCTGGGCTGTGCTGGGCACTCTGGGCTCGTCTGCCCTCCTTCCCTGGCCCCTTGCTTGGTGTCTCAAGTGAAACAATTCAATGAAACGGGCTAAAATTCATTAAATGGTCCAGCTGCCTAAACTAGCATTGCTCTGTTGCTGTTTTTAGAGCAGCTGAGTGGCAGGGTCCCCCCAGGAGTGACACGTGTCTGCCTCCCCGGGATGGGCACTGCATGACCCCAGCTGGGCATCGGTGCTGCTTGGCCGATACCCTCTGCTGGTGATTTATTATGGACGGGACATTGGGTGTATTAATGATGGGAGCTTATTGTCTAATTGCTAATAGACTTTGCCAGGGCTGCACGTTCCCAGGGCTGCGTCTGTGCTGCCAGGCTCCCATGCTGAGGATGTCTAGAGATGCAGCCAGCGTTTAGCAAGATGTACAACACAAGGCTTGGAAACGATGCAGAAGCTGTGGCAGGCAGGTGAGAGAAACCTTTCTGCTTCAGGGCTGGCTGAGCCCCTTGCTGTGAGGTTTCTGGGCACCCTCTTTTTCCCCGTGCTGGGGGCAGCTGGAGGATGCTGTACGGGATGAGCCCTGCGTTCAAGCAGCTTGGGTGCACCTCGGCTCCTCCGGTGGGGATTGCTTTCAACAGCCCGAGCTATTTCTGTCCACAATCACAATCAATAAAGCAAGAGAGAGGATTTTTTTCCACTCCAAATACTTTCTTCATCCTGTTTCCTCCCAGTTCACACGGCAGACTGGGGCGCGCTCCAGCAAGGAGGCCCACAAAAGCCATCTCCTCCTCCTCCTCCTCCTCACTGCTGATCCAGTCCCTGACTCCTGCTCCTGCTCCTGCCCCAGCTCTGTGCAACCCCGACATTCCCCTCTAATTCACTGCAATCCAAGGGGCAGGTTTTGCTGGGGGGAGAGAAAGGCATTGCACATGTGCGTGTGTGCACACACGCTCACACACACAAGAAAACACTTTCAGAGCCAAAGGGGAAAAAATAAAACTAGGTCTTTGGAAGACACAGCGGCTCATGTAATCCCAGGTTCTGCTGGGCTGCCTCCACACAGCACGGCGATGGGGGGACGGGTCGAGGGGAGACGACTGCAGTCTATTAAACTTCCTTTGAGAACCTGCCAGACTGACAACAGCTGGAAGGAATTAACATTTCAGGTCCACCAGCTCCTCTCCTTGCTTTTACCCTTCCCCAAAAACCAGCTTGAGGCCACAGGCCTAGCAGCATCACTTTTTCCCACTCCTCGGCGTCTGGCAGTATCTGGTCTGAGCTGATTTCTTCAATGCTGAACTTGCCAGAAGCGTGAGCATCTGCTGAACAAAAAACCCCAGTGCTGCGCCAGCACAAGCACCTAGGTTGGGTCCCTTGTGTCCTAGAGGGTTGGGACCAAAGTGGGGTGTCACAACAGTGCTGTGAGGTGGCTTCAAGCCATCTCACATCTCTCACCTTCCTGCATAACAGACAGCACTGTCAAGGAAGGAAAAAATACCCAGGCTGCCAACTGCTGCTACTCGGGGCAGCACGGACGTCCCGCACGCGTGCAAGATGCAGGAAAGGGTTTGTTGGCCAGTGAAAATCCCACCGGCTGCCAGAGAGCCCGTGTTTGCTGTCACTTTGGGGTATCCTCATGTTGTGCATGCACCCATGCATGGGGGACCCTCAGAGCTGCCCGGCCCTGGATTATGGGGACCCTCACCCCAGTGAGGGGGTGCTGCCAGCCTGGCCCCTTCGCTCTGTGCGGCGGGAGCTTGGCAGGGGCTGGGGGGGGGGGGGAACTTGGGGGTGACAGCTCTGTGCTGTTGTCACCAGCAGAGATTACACAGAAAGTTATCGTGTCTCAAGGGAAGCAGGGGGTTGCAGAAGCTGTCTGAGCTCTGCGATAGCTGAAGCAGTGCAGAATTGGCAAATGCTGGGGGGTTTTGTTGCCAAACGGCAATCTGCCTGAAAGCGCCGGCTCCTCCAGCCAGCCTTGGAGGCTGGGACCCAAGCGGAGACCATATATCCCCACGTTCTGCCTTGCTACCAAGTTGGAGAAGGAAAATGCAGAAACGCTCATGTTAACCCTCTCCTGGGTGCCGGGGGAGGAGCAGAGAGAAGCTGAGCAGTCCGGCGAGCCCTTCACCCTGGGCAAAGAGGGTGGGCGAGGGCTTTGCCCGCAAAGGAACACCAGGACCCCGAGGGACACAAGAAGGGACAAAGCCAGGATGCTCAGGACAGCTGGACCCATGGCCCTTGAGGTCATATACGTGTATATTCTCATAAGCACATATATACAGGGAGCATGACTTGATTTCATGCAACCCCTTCAGCCTCCTACCCAAAGGCAGAGAAACACAGTTGAAGCCCGGCTGTAGGAGAGCTGGACAGACACACAGACCCCACCTTGCCCCGGTGGGTATTTTCCCTTGCCCTAATGCATCCTGGAGCTCAGCATCACCACGGGCTCCAGCCGAAGGGGGCTCTGCCTCCCGGACAGTGCTGGGGCTCAGGGCAGAGCCGGTGGCTGGAAGGAGCGAGTCAATAGGGTCATGCAGGGAGCAGATGACTTTTCCAGCATCGGAGAGGTCGGGAAAACAAGAGGGAGAAACAACCACTTCAGAGGGGTTGGTGGTGGGCTCGGTGTCTGGGGCCCAGTCCTGCCACGGCTGCCTGGGGAAGGCAGGGCAGCCCCGGGCTCGGGCAGACCCCATTGCCAGGGCTAATTACATCCACTGGGCTCCTGCTTACGAGCCCCAGGCTGGGTGCTGGGTCCTCTGTGTGTGCAGAGCAGGGGCCTGGGCCAGGAAAGGTCGCTGATAAAATTGAGCAACTTTATTTCTGGTTTAATATCATTTCTTATACCTTCAGCACCCTCAGGTACACCTTATTTCATCCACAGCGATTATATAAAACCCATCAGCTCAAGCATCTCCTTTTTTCCTGCTAGCAAAAGCTGCGGCCATTGCGTGGGTGGCTCTCAGGTGTCACCTTGTCCCTCTTGGCCACGCGATGCCAAGGGCTGGTGCATGATGCCGAGAGCAAGCCGGCACAGGGATACCTGCCCTGC